CTCTCTCTCTCTCTCTCTCTCTCTCTCTCTCTCTCTCTCTCTCTCTCTCTCTCTCTCTCTCTCTCTCTCTCTCTCTCTCTCTCCTTCTCATTCTTACTCTCACATAATCACACTCATATTGACACACACACACACACACACACACACACACACACACACACACACACACACACACACACACACACACACGTCAGTACTGTGTGCATTAGGCATGACGGGCAGTTACAGTAAACTCATGAATTCTGGATGAGTTTTATTGATGTGTAATCATTGGGAAAAGGGGAGAGCAGGGAAATATTAATTGCCCGAAACAGACAGAAGCGAAAAGTAATATTCCACCTTTACGAATAAAATATATCTACCATCTTCTGTTCTCCGATATCTACTGATATTAAATCTACTGATCTTATATCTAATTCAAGATTTCTCAGCCACCGTGGAGACCCGACAAGCTCTCATATTTAGGCGTGAATATTCACCTTAACTGACAGTGACTTATTGCATTTACAGTTTACGACACCAAATCCTCTAGTGTGTTGCAACGTGCGTCGGTGAACCACAATTGCAGGGAATAAGCTACCTTGAGATAGGATGAAAGTCTTTAAAAGAAATTAGCTATAGCGTTATATGTTATGTTTAATTTTAGGTTATTAAATTGTTAGCAACGCCAGTCATTCGAAAACGCATGGAAAATGAGAATCTAAATTAATATTGAGAAAACTAATAATACCGGATAAATATAAAAAATAAGATACCTGATAAAGCTAATTTGTGTAATGGGTACGAATAATTGTCTTTGAATATATTAACCGGGCCAAACGTAGGTAAATAACCCGGGCGAAAGTAGACCGCCATCCCAATAAACGGAACTATTGAAATTGGGCTTGACAGAATAGGGAATAGCAAAAATGAATAATAAAGTTTATAAAAAGAAAAAAAGGAAAGACAGAGAGAAGTAAGAATGAGAAAAAAAAGGAGAGAGAGAAGTAAGAAAGAGAAGTAAGGAGAGAGAGAAGTAAGAAAGAGAAAAAAAAGGAGAGAGAGAAGTAAGAAAGAGAAAAAAAAGGAGAGAGAGAAGTAAGAAAGAGAAAAAAAAGGAGAGAGAGAAGTAGAGAAGTAAGAAAAAAAGAAAAAAGGAGAGAGAGAAGTAAGAAAGAGAAAAAAAAAGAGAGAGAGAAGTAAGAAAGAGAAAAAAAAGGAGAGAGAGAAGTAAGAAGAGAAAAAAAAAAGGAGAGAGAGAGAAGTAAGAAAGAGAAAAAAAAGGAGAGAGAGAAGTAAGAACGAGAAGGAGGAAAGATGGACAGCGTCGAGATGGCAATCTGATTTCCCTCCACCGATTATTCAATAGATATTCTTCGTCTGGGACCTTATCTCGTGACATGGGAGGCCATTCTTTACCAGTCCAATCTGTTTTGTGGACTCTTAATGAGCTCGATTGCGATAGCCTAGCCAGTCAGCGATTCTTGTGAGATTGCTGTTCGTTCCACCGTTCGTGGAATAGTACATAAACGTCCGAGAACTGTTCAGATTGTTGTTCAACTGATTCTTATTGGTAGTTGCTTGAACGAGGAGGCCGGATTCGCTCAGTACACGATTTCTCCATTTTTCTCAGAGCTGCTTTTCCGGCGTATTGGTTTGGGTTTATCATTTTTTGGAAATTGCGCAACTTTGTGCTCAGTCCTATTGCGAAGTATGAAGCGCGTGTCCAATCTCTGAATTGTATATTTTTCTTTTTCTTTTCAAGTGTTCATTGCATTTCATCTTTGGCTCACAATTCTCCGATACCGTCTAACACAGTGGTTCGCAACCTTATTTTTAGGCGACCCCAGTCATGCACTTACATACATGACCGCGACCCCAGTCTGCTCTACAGTGTAAAGGCTTATGTTATATTATTACATTATAAAAAAAAAAAAAAAAAAAAAAAAAAAAAAAAAAAAAAAAAACATGAGCAAGTCAATAAACAAAAATCCACAATTACGGTTATATTTTCTTTAGTTCGAGTTTCATCAAAATTCAGTTGACTTTTTTTAGACTGCATTTGAATAATTGTGTAAAAATCAAGCAAAACTTACCTATCAACTCGACCCCAGAGTTGGGAAAACCTGGTCTAACATGATGTGAATTATTCTTTCCCTTTAATAATAAACGTCCACATTTCAACTGCTGAAATATCTTTCTTATGCTGGAGTTATTTATTCAGTCTGCACTTAAAGTATGTACATCTAACCTTAAGATGTGAATTTTTTGTTCTGCCAATTCTGGAATTATTATCAGCGACCTTTTCTCTGGTGACTTGGCAATACTTCCTCCTTATAATAGTTTAAGTTTTTGAGCTAAAACAAAGTCCTCAGTCTTAAACTATTTAATAACACATTTCCACAAATATGTCAGATGTTTTGCCAAGTCAAAAACTGTATCAAAAGCGTTAATGAAATCCGTTAATCGTAAAGTAAATTGGATGATCTAATTGCTTCCGGTGTTCCCTTACACATACAGACTCTGCATGTTTAATAAGAAGCTCCTGATTTTATTGCGCTCTGCCTGTATTGATACTTTCAGCAAGAACTTAACGTATCACGCTAATGTCTGTGCAGCTTTCTCTCTCTCTCTCTCTCTCTCTCTCTCTCTCTCTCTCTCTCTCTCTCTCTCTCTCTCTCTCTCTCTCTCTCTCTCTCTCTCTCTCTCTTCTCTCTTCTCTCTCTCTCTCTCTCTCTCTCTCTCTCTCTCTCTCTCTCTCTCCTCTCTCTCTCTCTCTCTCTCTCTCTCTCTCTCTCTCTCTCTCTCTCTCTCTCTCTCTCTCTCTCTCTGTCCTCTCTGTCTCTGTCTCTCTCTGTCTCTCTCTCTCTCTCTCTCTCTCTCTCTTCTCATCTCTGTCTCTCTCTCTCTCTCTCTCTCTCTCTCTCTCTCTCTCTCTCTCTCTCTCTCTCTCTCTCTCTCTCTCTCTTCCAATGTAATGCAATTCACGGAGAATTTCCATGCATTTCATGACACTGATCATTCTAACCTATCCCTTCAGGTGCCCTTTAGTGATCTAAAACTATTCCTAATTCTCTTCAATAATTCTACGGATTGTATTTTGAACAAAGATATTTTTTCGGCCTTCCATTTTGATCCTGATGGCTGACATTTCTCTTTCCCCGTGAAGCTAAAGATAAATGCTGTGACATTGATTACTGGTATTTATTTCGTTCCTCATCTATTTATTTACTTTTTGCGCTCAGATTTCTGGTAATTGTGAGGCACTTTTTATCAGAATTCCTGTAATGTTCATATTTTTTATGTCTAATATTTTTTTTTACACTTTAAATCTCATAATCTCATTCATTATTATTTATCGATGAAAAATGAACATATGTATGTGTACACACGCACAAACACATACGCAAACATTATATGTACATGTACATGTATGTGTGTGTATATATGTATATATATATATATATATATATATATATATATATATATATATATATATATATATATATATATATACATATATATATATATATATATATATATATATATATATATATATATATATATATATATATATATATATATATATATATATATATATATATATATATATATATATATATATATATATATATATATATATATATATATATATATATATATATATATATATATATATATATATATATATATATATATATATATATATATATATATATATATAATATATATATATATATATATATATATATATATATATATATATATATATATATATATATATATATATATATATATATATATATAATATATATATATATATATATATATATATATATATATATATATATATATATATATATATATATATATATATATATATATATATATATATATATATATATTATATATATATATATATATATATATATATATATATATATATATATATATATATATATATATATATATATATATTATATATATATATATATATATATATATATATATATATATATTATATATATATATATATATATATATATATATATATTATATATATATATATATATATATATATATATATATATATATATATATATTATATATATATATATATATATATATATATATATATATATATATATATATATATATATATATATACATATATATATATATATATATATATATATATATATATATATATATATATATATATATATATATATATATATATATATATTATATATATATATATATATTATATATATATATATATATATATATATTATATACATATATATATATATATATATATATATATATATATATATATTATATATATATATATATATATTATGTATGTATATATATATGTATGTATCTATGTTTATATACACAAATATATGTACATGTATATATTTGTGTTATGATTGTTGTTATCATGATGATTATTAATTTCTTTATTATCCTTATTGATTATTATCATTATTATTATTGTTGTTGTTGTTGTTGCTGTTATTATTATCATTATTTCTACCATTATCATTGCTGTTGTTGATAAATCGCAAAACTTGTGATTTTGTGCAGGAGGCTTTAAATACACAAAATATTTCAAAACACCATACAAACAGAACAAAACTATACAACAGAATATAAAGGACATTTCAACATCAATTCTTCTTCGAAAAAAAAAAAAAAATGCAGCAAAATTCTTCTCTGGAGACATATTAGCCATTCAGCTGGGAGTGCCTGAGGACAAAAGAAAGGCCGGGACAGGCTCACGGAGGAACGATAAATTGCACTGCATTTAATTGAGTCTTAACCAATTTAAGTCTGGAATTAGGAGCTGAGTCAGATCGAATTTGTGTGCTGACGCTGGTTCTGACTGCTATAGCATGTTTTTTGTTGTTGTTTTATTAATGTATATGTGTATAAACACTAGAACGAATAATAATAATAGTAATAGTAATAATAATTAATATAATGACAATAATAATAATAATAATGATGATGATAAAATTGATAATAATAGTAATAACAATACCAATTATACTTTTAATAATAATAATAGTACTGATGAGAATGATAATAACACAATTGATTATGGGTACTGCGTAGTAGTTGCGAAACAGCTCCAAAATAACTAAAAATACAGCATTTAATCGACCAATTTTTCATTAAACCTGATTATGGGAAGTTTGTAGAAACTGAGAAGCGATTCCTAAATAAGTCTCCTGAAGTTTGAAGCCAATCAAATGATAAATTTTGGTGCCTTTACACCACTGTATTATAATAGAATTGACAATTATTTCTAGCAATTCGACTCTAAAGTATCCAAAACATTATATGGTATCAAGAATGGTTATATTGGGAAAATAAAGAAACCAAGGCACTACACACTATCCATTGAATATTTGTGAAAAATCCATTCTAATGTACACCACATAAACACATATATATACACACTCTCCCTCTCTCTCTCTCTCTCTCTCTCTCTCT